AACAAATGGATGCATTCCCATGGAACAAACTTCTCGAAATCAATAAATTATGCGACAAAATACTTTACTTTACAAAAGTCTGCTCCATCCAGAACTTTCGAATGCAAATGATGAGCATAACTGTAGAGCAGTGGTACTGTTAAGATTGCCAATGAAACGGAAAATATTGCTAAAGTCACCGCAGCAATTGCTACATGTCGAAATTGCCTTAAAAAGAAATTTAAAAAAGTAACGCAAAAATTTCGACAGAACCCACTTAACTTTTTTACTTACATTTCAGCAGATTAGTTTACCGAAACTAAGAAGGTACCTGTGCACTTCCAATTCAGTTTTCGAATCCAAATTCATGATTGCCAACTAACAATTGATAAGGTTAATCAACAGCAATCTTATAAATGAGATATAATTTAGGAAATTCGAAGATGGTAATGAAGGCATTTATCACAAATCGGGACAGAGAATATATGTAAAATTATCGGTAAAATGGTACTGCTACCTGATCATATCTTAGTTACAACATATGGATGCATATCCCACATACATATATTGGGAGGATTCATGATGATAATCTGTTTCTTATCAGTGACCTAAATTTCTGACTGACATTTTAAAAATTTATGACAAGTGTGAAATTTGACAAATGATATAATAGAACAGTCATATCCAAAAAGAAAAGAAAGACATATGACCTCTGCATCCATCCATTTCATTCATTCAGCTCTTTACCCTGAAAAGTGTTGCAATTATGAAATCAAAGCATAAAAAAGAGAAGAAAACGAAAATGTAAAAGAAGTGAAGTCTGCCATATTAATTTTCATTTGGATTCCAATTTCAAAATTCTCTTAAACAAAAAAGTTTTTGTCACATAAACTTTATTATATTATTTGAGAAAAGAATCTGTTTATTCGTCCTTCACTAATTGAGGAGAAAATTTTTTCAATCTTTCAGAATGTATGCTTACAAAATGGCTATGAAGTAGTTTTCAATAAATTTCGAAATCTTTTTCAGGATGTCTAAGGGTGATAAATTTCGATATTCAAGCGGTAAATGTTATTCAGAAGGCTTTTGAAATGCCTATATTAGTGATGTTTGAGGTGTCCAAGTCACCATCTATTGTGTCGAATTCATTATGAAGCAACAATATGAAATGAAACGAATTCGACGCACACTAATCTGTAACATCGATTCAATTTTAAACAACAATAACAATAACAACAACAACAACAGCAGCAACAACAATAGCAGGAATAACAACAACAGTGACAACAATAACAATAATAATAATAAATGCTCAATGCTGAATCGATCTCACAAAAAGCATAGAAAAGACACATGATCATTGTAATGCGACAGATGTAACTCTTTTGCTTTCCTTTGATGTGCAAAATATGCCGCTGAGGCGACTAATACCTTTTGCCATTTTTCGACTTAATTTGGATTCAAGTGTGTTTTTTCTTATAAAGTTCGGTCATTCACTGCAGTGTCTCTTTTTTTAATGAGTAGTACAAACTTACGTACAAGGAAATGACCACAAGCGGATTTTCTGCACTAGGCTTATAATGTCATTCATTTAATCTTTTGTTTGATCTTGTATTGGTCAAGCTGGATTACTTGAAATTTTCCCCAATATGTAGTGTTATACCAATCTATGGCACTTTTGCGCCACGATGTCAAACACTTAGTGGTATTACTTAGAAGTTCAACTAATTACTGTCTGGAATTAATCCGAATTAGTTACTTATTCCATCCCTTTATATTTTCTTGTCTTTTATGTTTCAAGTTAATAGTTCAAAATATACATCCATCTCTACAACACCATCTTCTGAAGAAATCTTTTGTGTTGGGAAAAATATATATATATATATATCAAATATCAGTGATAGATACCATAAAAGACATTTAATTATGATATTTTCCAAATCATTTAATTTCATTTATTTAATTTCGTTCAGTAGTGAGATAAAGAAAGATAAGATGTAGTAGGGATGAGCGAGGGTAATTGAGATGGTGTCGCGCAATTCAGGGTCAATTGGATTATGCAGATGATCATCATCACCATAGGGATCATAACCTTGCCTAATAGATCCCATTCATATCCCTTAGCAGCTACTGGTATCGAATGTATCTTCATCATGTACCTCCTGGTATTGAGTGTGTTATCATCAGGAGTTCTTGGTGTCGAGTTATCTCCATCAGGTAGTTCCCGGTATTAAGTGATCTCTATTCAGGTAATTCCTGGTATTGAGTGATCTCTACCAGGTAGTACTGGTACCAAGCACTTCCTAGTATCGAGTATATCGTCATTAGATTGCTCCTAATACCGAGTGTTTCTTCATCCAGATAGCTCTTGATTTGAATATCATCACTGTCATCCTAACAATCAATATCATCATAAAACGATTTGTTAGATGACACATTTGATGATGATGGTGATGGTGAAGAAAGAAAAGAGTAGAAGCGTCTTTTCTAGCTCCTTTTTTTCCTCTCCCATCCTATGTGCCAATCATCGCTTACACTCTCTCTTTTACCAATTCATTCTAATTTTATGCATTCATTCTAAACCCGACAATGGCCATATATCGTCAAATTTACGACTCTGTTTTTGGGATAGTTAAGACAGGATGGAGGAAGAGGGAGAAGTAAGGTCGGGAGATGAGCCAATAAATGTCAACCATCCTCCCTCAGTCTCCCTCTGCCACCTCTCTCTCTTCCCATCCCGATCATTTATACAATATTTTATGGTTTTGTCATTCCGGGTTCCTATATGGTTGAGTTAAATTCTGCTTATTTGCTATCAATTATCTAAAACTGATACAAATTGCAATTAATTTTTGAAATTTCATAGAAATTTGCTAATTTTACCTTAAAAATTTATAGTATTTACGGGATAATTGCAACAACCGTATGACTAATGCCAGTATTTTTGTTTAGTTGAAGAACTTGTGGAGTTTCACTCAGTACGCTAATCATTTTTAAACAATGCGATCGCCACCGATCGATCTGAATACACTTTCAACGGAGTTGCACAAAATTGCACAAGCCAAGTAAGTTATCCCTTTGGTCATTTTGAAAATATAAAATCTGAGGAATATTCATTTAACAGTTATTGTTAATTGTTTAACTTGAATACTGGAAGTCTAATGAAGTAACGAGAGATGACAATGATAGTAAGTTGTTGATTACGATAAAATTCTGATGAATTGATTACTATGAATATGACTGTAAATCACGATAGTCTTAGATATTTTCAGCAATTAGTCTGGCAATGCTAGTTTGGTAATAACAGTCTAATTATATCTGCTTACGTTACTTCCAATCCATCAACAATAGTTATTGTAAGAATAACTATTTCTAATTGAATGGCTAATCTCTCTGCTTCAACTCACCTCTTCTTGTGATCGGAACTGATACTTCCGTATAATAAGTAAAAAATTACATTGAAACATTTTATAACAGCAACCATTACTATCCAGGCAAATTACAGATGTTTAATTACAGTAACGATTAGAGTAATACTATAATCATGTAGATAGTAATCATAATTACAAAAATCATGACAACTAATGAACTGATACATGACATCGATAAGGACATTCTGGTAATCACGGTTGCATTGATAAACTTTGTGATAGTTATAATTATGCTAGTTTAGGACGAAGTTAGAAGATTTCACGGTGAAGCGCAATGAGCTGTTGGCTGAATTAGCCGATTTCCAGCAGTCCAAAAAATTCATCGAAGAAACACAAAAAACGATCAGTGATTTGAATGAAGAAAAGGATGCCCACAGTGAAATTATCCAGCAAATTAATATGGTTCATTTATTTTAATGAATACATTGCCATGTTAGTTGACATATAAATGGAGCGCAGGGTCAAAGGTCGTAAGTCAGTCACTTTTATCATTTAATATAGCAGTTGTGCGTAATTGCTTTTATACTAGCTGAAATGAACGTGATTAGTGCATGACGGCATTTGTCAGATTGCAAAACCATCTGTGTGGTACTTGTAAAATTAGACACCAATGGTTAACTACTTCTTGCTCGATTAAGGTTGAGAAATAGTTTTTAAAAACAAATATTGATTGTAACGAATCCTCGTCCATTATCAGAATATCGAAACTGTTCGGATATTCATTATTAAAGATGACGGAACATCAGTTCTCTGAATAATGGTTAAGGATAAATTCATATTTTCGTCGGTGTGCGAGAAGGTACTTGAAAAGTTTAAAAATTTTGATACTAGAAAAAATGGGATTTGAAATACGGCGCAACTTCAGATATTCATATTTAGGATAAGCAAGAGCTGGAAAAAATTATGAATTCAGCCAAACAAGAAAAGCGACAAATGGAAGAAAGTATTAGTCAGAAGTATGAGGAGATATTTCGGTTGCTAGAACAGACCAACGAGCTATCACGGGAAAGCGGTATTAGTGAAGAAGATCTCATCTCACCGTCAATCATACCACCAAATAAAATCGCTCCGTTAGCTTTATTATACTCTTAATGGTCTCATGGAAATTTGAAATAATTAAAATGTGAACATTTACGTCGTATTTACCTACTCTTCGCAGACTTGTTTAGTACAGACAAACTGAATTTCTTAAAAGACTTTAGTTACACTACCCTTGCTCTGTTTGACCACTGGTCACTTACTCAAGCAACTCAAACTTATCCCTACTTGTTGAAGAAACAACGGATCATCTTAAATACCGAAAAATATGAATTTTCCAGGAATATTTCATCGGTTGGACCTTTGGCTACTTCAAGCACAAGTGTGCCACCTCTGTTGCGTCACTTTAAGGTTAATTCAGTACCAGCTGTTGTACAGCGTGCTATGTTCAATTTTGATTCCATTCTGTTACAAGCAGCAGCACCAGCAATGGCACGGCCACCAGTCATGCCGCACGCTTTTCCAACTAGTTCATCACTTACCAAAGTTGACCATCAATCACCGCCCATGAAGGTTGTTTTAGTTAATTGGTTAATGGCTTAGTTATTTCGAAAGATTGCTTTCTTAGTAAGTAAGTAAGTCACTTGTTAATAATTTATGCTAGTAATTAATTTTGTTCTACTTTTAATTTGTTCGTCTGTAACTTACACAAAAACCTGTAAAATACTTGAAATCTTGTTGAATTAGGAATTTTGCTGCCTACTGCTAAAGTAATATTTTTATTTTCTTTTTCAGACATGTCAATCGTGTTTCCAACAAATCCATCGTAATGCTCCCATATGTCCAATGTGTAAAAGCAAAAGTCGATCAAAAAATCCGAAAAAACCGAAGAGGAAGGTGACGGAATAAAATTCATTAGTTGTATTTTAATTTTTTCATGAAATAAAATAATTTTAAAACATTTATTGTTTTTATGATACAAACATACCATCGTAAAGTCTTACGTACTTCTCCAAAACGTTGCGTAATAAGCAAAAATTCTTACCTGTTTTAAAACATTACGCAGTCTTGAAAACAATATAAATATTCGAAGTCATCAAACGTTAATGGCTTTTAAAATTGTTAAATTTTTGAACAGTTTTCAATTTCCTATGAAAAATTAAAATATTTAAAAAGAAAACAGCATGAACTCTAATTAATGGCAGTCTAAATTAGTGGCAAACATCAATTACAGGTCGCCAATATTGTAATGTTACGTATCCAGTAACGCATGAAAATCATACACAAAACTACGATGAGTCATCCATTTGATTATAACATAACATTCAACTTGAATGTGCGTTAGATATTTTATATGCTATGTGTACTTTAAAAAAAAAAAATTCATTGTAATGCTAAATAGAACGTAATCAAATGTTTCTTCCAGACGTATTATTTACATTTTTTTTTTTTTCATTTTTCATTTCTACCATTTTCATCCCAACAATTATTTCTTTTTTTCATATCAACATCAAACGGTTCTTCCCACACACTTTCAACACCACTGTATCGTTGTCATTCAAGCATGTCTACTGCATACAATGGTTTATCATCTACATAAAAATGCCTTCACTACCATCCATCCATCCATCCATTTGAACTATTTATTCAAAACATCAGAACAGCATTCCTACGGTGTGCATTACAACGGTCATCATCGTAGGAGTGTTATTTTCTCATATTGATTCCACCATTCTACCATATCCAGTTCTACTTTTTTTTTTTCGCTTTTTAAAATTTCAAATTCATTCCTTCATATTGGGATTGCTTTAAAAGGCTTGCATTGTATAGTTTTACAATTTAAGCATTATATCTATTTAAAAATGAAATGCATGAAATGACAGATGTACATGAATAATTTAAGAGATGATTCTAAAGAATGCATAATCCGTTCCGTATAAAACAACTTTCATATGCTATAGTTTTTCTTCGAATCAAAAATGAAAATTTCCCTTCCTTCGTTTTCCATTAATGATAACAAATATGCAGCGTGGAAACGTGTACTGGACGTTGTGGAATTGTGATGTTGCATAACTGATGAATCTGACGATTTTAAGCAAAGAATTATGCAAATTATCAACAGCAAAGTAATTCTTTCTAATATCTCTGTCTATGAAAGATTCACCGATCCTAGAGAGAGAGAGAGAGAGGAGGAGAGAGAGAGAGAGTTGGGTTTTCGTTTACCAAAGT